GAAACGTTTCATTAGAGAAGAACCCGTCCAGAAGACCTACACAATTTTTTTCTTTTTGATTTTTTTACCTGGATTACTGAGATGCATCAGGACACTTTTAGATAGACGAAGCAAAACAATCGTGACGTCTTCATTTGACTCTGCAAGCAAAATCCATGACTGCGAAGGTTTTCTTTTTAAACACATCTTGACTAGTTCTAGTTACTCTGACCTTCATTTAGTTAAACTTGTATTTGTTTTTTTCCTCAAAAAATCAAGTATTTTTTGATTTGAGAAGTGATTGTGTTAAAGGACTTCTCACTAGGGGGAGCGAGGAACCCAATAACTTCAAGCAAAAAAGCACAACTTGTGATTCACATGACGTTTTAGACTCTGAGGGGCCAGGACTATAAAAACTTTGTAGAGTTTATCAAATATTTTAACTGTTGCCTCCTTCCATTTCTAATGTTATATTTGTGTGTGGACAAACGAGCTGTGTGTCTGAAGWGTCTCTTTTAACTGGGTAAAGGTTTTCCTTACTGGACTCAAGCTGTTTGAAAGGCTTTAGAAACAAAGTGGTCTATTTCACAGAGGTCTCACTCTCTCTTGCAAGCAGGACTTGACTAGAAGAATCACATTTGAGGCGTTTAAACCCCGACAATGGACCTGACGGTGAATTTAGTTTTTAATTTTGAATCAGACACAGATGATTGTAACTGTTTGCTTTGCTTTTATGGTAATGTTACACTGTTACTGTTTACTGTAATCTCTTCTAATTGTTCTATATCTAATATATTTAATTTAAAACTCCAAAAAGTGCTGTTTATTCGTTAATTTAATAATTGTGTATATATTGGGTCCTATTTTAAAGGTTCAAGTATGCCATTATTGAAATAAACGCTTGTGAAATTTTCATTTATTAAATGTGAGGGAAAAGTGTTTTTATTTTTTTTTTGGACATATATTTCAAGGTTATTTGATGTAAAAGTTTTAATACAATTTTAACCATTTCATAGCAATGAGATTAAACTTTATTTTTCTCTTTGTCAGACTAGTTGTTTCCTGACAGAGTATGAATGTTGTACAAAGACATGGTCRGTTGTTTATGCCAAACCAGTTATTTTTGGCATCAATTTTTTTTTGAGGAAGGAGTGTTAAATTACTGGTTTAAAGTCTAAAGTAGACCTCAACACTGTTAGGACATTTATAGCATGGTCTAAATCAGTGTTTTTCCAAAGTTGGGGTCGGGACCCAAAGTGGGGTCCTGAAAAGATTTTCTGAATTAATTACATTTTTGCCTTAGTTGTTACAAAGGAGTGAGGTTAGTATATTTAAAATGGATAAATGTAGTATAAAAATATTGTTACTGTGCCCATGTTTTGTTGACCTNGATCAGAACACCTGTTTGTGAGCAGTTGTGAACGTAAATATAATTAAATCAAATGAAAAGGGTAAACAAAAGACCCTGTTCACAATTTGTGCAAAGATTTAGAAGGTCTTCTCTTTTTGGAAAACATAAGTCTGATTTTACCTCATGAGGTCCTCAGCTGACAAACTCAGTCCTCACTGTGTCAGAATGATGTCAGCAGGATCAACGGGCTGCTTTGATGTCAACCTGAGAGGCACCACTAGCCCCTCCCCCATCAGAGTGTCGGAGCAGGACGAGTCAGTGCAACGTCAATCAAATGAGAGAGAGGGTGGGGGCGATTGTTGCATTGGTGGGAGTATGGATAGAGTGGTTTATTTTCCTGTAATACCTCATTATTGTTTTTTAAGACAAAGCTAAGTGAAAGGGGCGCTGAACAGAGTTACAACCAGGGATCACAATTATTACTTTTTTCTTCTGCAGTTTGGCGCCCCCTCCAGCAGATGGCGCTCTAGGCGACCGCCTAGTTCGCCTATGCCGAGAGCCGGCTCTGCTGAGAATATTACTTAAGTCAAAGTCTAAAGGTATTTTGTACTTAAGTATCAAAAGTAAACTTCTGATATAAAATGTACTTATTAAAAGCATAAATGAGCAGTTAAAATTTCCAAAATGAGATTTATTGGGAGGTGGCCTCTAAGAAAACTTTTTCCTAAAGGCTATAATGTTAATATKGAAATATTTGGGATTCACAAGTCTACTTGTTTTTGCACACAACTTCTTACGTTTTTTTAAAATGTAAGGAGTAGAATGTTCAGATATTTCTGTGAAAATGTAAGGAATACTAATAAAGTCACCTAAAAAGTAATTACTCAAGTTAACCAAAGTATTTGTACTTAGTTACTTTACACCTCTGTATGTTAGTAACATGTGTCATATTAAAAAATAAAGGTTCTCCAAATTATTTTTAAGTCACTACACTTGTAACAAAAGTTTGACTGTTTTAATATGAAATTAAAAAAAAAAATTCTAATCATTTCAATTTGGGCTTAAAACAACAAACTAAACTGAAGCAGATTTTATTGCAAGTAAATTATACTCAGTTTGAGCAAAAGTTGCATTCATAATTTTATTTTAAATTTATTTAACAACGCATTTAAGTGAACACATTGAGGTGTATGGAGTCATCCTGAATTGTGATGAGGCCTGTGTTTCAGTCAAGGAGTTGTTTGTTCTYAAATTAACGACTCAGCAATTCCTTATAAGGATGAGGAAATGTGCTCATCCTTAGCTCACTTGTTAAAAACAGCTTTAGTGGTAAACATGTTTGTGTGTCTCAAAACACATCTCAGGACCCAACTCCTGCACCATAGAAGGAATTGCATGTAGGCAGAGTTGTAAAGTAACTAAGTACAAATACTTTGTCACTGTANGTGTTTTTAGGGTTATTAATGAAGTTCGTGTACTCAGACCAGTAATATTTGAGGTCACAAGTTTTTGCCATGCATATTTTGTGGGTCAGAAGATAAAAAGTTTGGGAAYTACTGGTCTAAATAACTGCTGTTGGTAAGGGTAGGAATGATGCACAATTATTAGTACAATAAAAAAAGCCAATTCTCAAGTGAGGAAAGCAGCCTTCTCCTGAACCCTGCAGTCATTGACAAATTCATTTACAAAGCACATCTTAAAACAATGAAAGTTGACCAAAATGCTTAAAAAGGCAACATATGATARTATAAAATTATGTTTAATGGGAGAAAAAAAAATTGGAGCAATGACTGAATGTAGAAGTTGAACTGACTTATTCAGGTTTTATTGTAGTTTAGTTGTATTTATTACTGCTGTTATATCCAGTAATAATCTAATAAGCAAATTGATCTGGGTCGAACTTTGAACCAGTTTAGCAGAAGTTTTACAAAAGCCACATGTATTTCAGTTTTTGAGGCACACCACCCTGCTTCATTCCATTTTTTTTTTGTTTTTTTTCCCCGTTCAGGAGCAGACTCGTACAGTATTTTCACCAAAACACTTTTTCTGAAGTTTTGTATTTGTCCAATTCATCCATATTTGTTTCTGTCTAGACTATAGCCAGCCTATTGTAGGTCAATCACATGACTTAAGCTTTCGTGTGGTTTTTGGCAGATTTAGCGGAGTGCTTTGTTTACATTGAGTGGGGACCCTCTTTTCTGAATTCTGTATCAGCAYGTCTGGAAAACAACTGGAGCATACTCTGAAACTGCAACATGTAATATAGTACAATAAATGACCCTTTTTTAGGTTTGCATTCATACATTTAGTTTCTTTTAAAGACAGTACAAAGGAGACTTCAGACCTTTTTGCAAAATGAATAAATGGAGGAGGTCCTCCATTTTTACATAAATTCAGTAGAATAGCCTTACWGTTCATGATAAAGAAAGTTTGTCTTTAGTTAGGCATTTTAATGAGTCTAAACCAGTGGTTTCCAAAGTTTTCAGCTTCTGACCCACAAAATTACAACAGCAGAGACTTGTGACCCCAACAGTTGCAGGTTAAAATATCCAACCATCGCAAATGTAAGAAATAAATAGATGTTCATTATTTTATGACAATTATTAAAAGAATATATGCTTCTTTAAGTTTTATTTGATTTCTGGAAATTATTTTAAGACCTTCCATTTGGCTTTTCATGACCCCTGTTAGGGTCCCAACCCCTGCTTTGGGAATTTCATAGCAAGTAATAGACTGTGTATTAGAGCAGGTTGTTTCCAATGACGGTGTATTAGGGACACTTTGCAGATGATAAAAAGGAGGAG